AAATCAGAGAATCCCCATTCAGAATTCTCCAAAAGCTTGGATTAATATTGGCAATCTTGCTCCTGGCTTCAGGAAAAGAAACAAATGTTCCCCTCACGTGTGTGTGTGTGTGTGTGTGTGTGTGTGTGTGTGTGTGTGTGTGTGTGAGAGAGAGAGAGAGAGAGAGAGAGAGAGAGAGAGAGAGAGAGAGAGAGAGAGAGAGAGGGAGGGAGAGAGAGGGAGAGAGAGAGAGAGAGAGAGAGATGATAATAAGCCAGTAGACTGTTTTTAAAAATCCTTTTCATCAGAAACAGTTGATGCCCAGAACAGCCATTGATGGATGGCAAGCATCACTTGGGAGGGAGGGAGGAAGAAACGAGGGAAAGAAAGCGTGTATACAACTTGGCTTAAAGCAAATTCAGAGAGCTGGGATTTTCTTTCTTGAGCACTACAGGACAGTTCTCTGCCATGCAGAGAGAAAGGAAGGCTTTCTATTGCTCTGGGTTCATATTGCAGGCAAACAGGAACACCCAGGACAGTTTTTTGGATGCAGCATTGATTCCTCTTTGGATTCTTCAGCAACATTTCAGGGGGAAAACTATCCTGTCACCACCTCTTTGACTTCACAATGAATAGGCCCAAATCCCTTCTGCAGAAATCATCACATATATTTTATAATTAAAGAGCAACAATTTGGTCAGGGAGCTCTCAACATCTTCCACTAATGTCAGCATAATTTCCCTGATATTCACTGGAGCTTAATCTCAATTAAGTTCTCAAAGATGATCCTATTCTTCCATTATTCAACAGTGTATCTTCAGGATGAATACTGGGGCTTATTTGCCCTTTTTTCTTCCATGGCTCTATCTCCCTCTCCAACTAGGACAGGAGTAGGCAACCCAAAACACTCAAAGAGCCACTTGGATCCGTTTCCCACCAAAAACAAAACACTGGGAGCCACAAAACCCTTTTGATATCTAAAATGAGGATAACACTGCATATATCCTTTTTTACTTTTATTATATGTATGTGTGTGTGTGTGTGTGTGTGTGTGTGTGTGTGTGTGTGTGTGTATATATTTATATTCGCCGTCTGGAGAGCCGAAACACAGACCACCCTCAAGACAGACACACGCACCAACAAACTCCGAAGACTACAAGAACGCCAGAAACAAACCCCTCCTCCCTCACATGAAACAAATAGTGCATAACATCTCAGATAGGATCCTCACCAAAGCCGAAACCAATGTCCTTTCCAAAGGATTCAACTTTGCAGTCGCTCCCAAACACATCCCCACTGAAACCATTATATGTGGAGTTGAAACCAGCCTGACCAAAATCAACCCCGACGATGCTAACAGAATCAGACTCGAAATCACCAACATCCTCTGCACCAGCAAGCCACCCAAAAGCAACTTACCCAAAGAGGAACAGACAGCGCTATGTAACCTGAAAGAAGACACCAGTATAATAATCCTACCAGCAGACAAGAGCAACGCCACGGTGGTTATGAACACATCTGACTACCAAACCAAATTAACCAACCTACTCCAAGACTCCACATACAAACCCCTAAACACAGATCCCACCACCTACCTGGAAAAAACCACCAGATCCAAAATAAAAGCCTCCCCCATTAGTGAAGAGATCCAGCAAAGAATCATTCCCAGGGAGAAATCATCCAGATGCCCCAAACTCTATGGTCTCCCCAAGATACACAAAGAAGGAACCCCACTCAGACCCATAGTCAGCTCTATAGGCTCACCTCTACAAAACCTAGCCAAATTTCTCGCCAAACAACTACAGCCCTATGCAGAATCCATCACCTCACATGTAAAAAACTCATTCCAGTTTATAGTGATCATAAAGAAACAAAACTTACAGTCCAGTGACCTACTCATGAGCTTCGATGTCATATCCCTCTTCACCCAAGTGCCTATCAAAGAAGCCTTGACAGCTATCCAAAACAAATATAACCCCCCCAAACACATCTTAGATCTGACCAACCATGAAGTATCCAACACATACTTCATCTATAACGGACAAAAATACAAATAAACAGAAGGAGCACCCATGGGATCACCCCTCTCACCTCCCGCCTACCAGCCATTTGGAAACCCGCCCTTATTGACAAACAGTAACACAAAAAATGACACCAGACCCACACTCACAAAAACCACACAGGATGTCACCACCACACATCCACGCAAAAAGCAAACCCAAAGCCACACCAATGATGAGGCACGACCACAAACCAGAAGCCAGACCACAGCTGCATCATTAGCCACTTTAAACCCCTCCAATCCATACAAGAAGCAAACTGACACCCTCCATGAAGATGAGGCACGACCACGAAGCCAAAAAATAGCAAGGCAGCCCAAAATCTTAAACCCCCCTGCAACTCAGACTAACCTGAGCACAACCAAACAGAACACTCCCCCAGCCAATCAGAGCACAGCCAACCCCCCAGCCAATCAGAGCACAGCCAACCCCCCAGCCAATCAGAGCACAGCCACGCCCCTAACCAATCAGAACACACCTCCACCCAATCAGAACACAGCCAAGCTCCCACCCAATCAGTTCATACCCCCACTGGCAGTTAAAAGGAAGAAACAGCTAAGACCACACATTGCTCCTCGAAGCACTAAGCTGAAAACACCAGCCTGAAGATGACAAATGGGACTTCGTCGAAACGTCGCCAAGACGCTTCCAATTTTACGTGGGAGAAAACCCGAATAACCAAAGACATATATATATATATTCGTAGATTTTCACGGGTATAGGTATGCAGGTCTTGGTGTATTCGGGTCTTTTCCCGTGTAAAACATTTCCCGTGTCATCTTCAGGCTGGGGTCTTCGGCTTCGAGCAAAGTGTGATCGGAGCTGCCGTCTCTCTCTTTGTGTGTAGAGTGCTGGCTTAGTTGCTGTAGGTGGATTGGTTGGCTGTGTAGGAGCTATTGTTTGTGGATTGTTTGGCTGTTTTGTAACATCCTGAGTAGTTGAGGTGCTGGCTGTGTGCCCGTTAGTCTTTTTGTGTTGTAACGACCTGGGTAATGGGTTGTGTGATAACATCCTGAGATCTAGTGTAGTGATATCCTGGGAGGGAGGGGGACTGGGTGCAGGGACTGATTGACAGCCGCCCACCAAGTGCTTGCACACGCTCTAAAAGAGCACTTGAGAATCGTAAAACAACCAGTGGAGTCAAAGACAGTTTGCCTGATGCGGAACAACTCTGCGCGATACGGATTAATATAATCAATGGGCCGATGATGCGCTCAAGAAGCCAGGCGCAGAGGCAGGAGGCTATATGAGCCGCCTTCCCGATCTCCTTCTAACTCTGATGACGCCAGCAGTTTTTGGACAGACAAAAGCTTAGTGACTCTTCTTAACCACAGGCTTGTTTATATTAGGCTGGTTTATTATATCTTGGTGTTCGTTTTTTCTTTTGTTTGTTGACATGATGCCCAGGATTTGCATTTTTAGTATTTTAAAAGACAATATATATATACTCTCTTTTTGAGAGAGAGAGAGAGAGAGAGAGAGAGGGAGAGAAGGGAAGTTCAAGTGCCTCTCTCTGTCTCTGTCTCTCTCTGCAAAGGGCAGAGGCTGGGAGCCACAGGGGAAGGCTCAAAGAGCCGCATGCAGCTCTGGAGCCACAGGTTGCTGACCTGTGAACTAGGAGAACTGCATTCTGAATACCCTCTCTGGTCGTTCCCGCCCACCTGCTCAAAGCTTTAGCTGAATTATCTGGCTGCTTTTAATCTTTGTTTATGTGCATGTATGTCAATTAAATCAACCAAATACTGTCACTTTGTTTTTAAAGGCTGAAAACAAGCTGCTACAAGGCTGGCATGATGCACTGCCTATTTCTGGTGTAACACACAGGGTTTTTTTCCAAGAAAAACTATTTATGTGAAGTAGAGATGCAGCATATGTTCCCTCAAAGCTTGGTTTCTCAAATCTCCTGCTTTCACCAATTTCCTGATGGGGTGGTGGGGGAGGGAGAGCTAACACAATTAGCTGAGAATAAATGTATTGGTGGAAAGAGCAATTCATGGACTTCAAAAGCACCATTGTTTCTGTTATTTGAGTTAATTAACAATTATTTGTCTATTTTAGAGTGAACAGCCAGTGGGGTGGAAACTGTTACTGGTGCCATATGGGAGCTTGGGGACAGCCAGCCAGCCCAAACCCACTGAGCATCAGTAAAATACCACCGCCAGCTAAGAGAGGGGCAGCATTTCAGGGGAGCCAACCAGTGCTCTGAAGCACCTGCACTGTACTGGGTTGCTGTCCCGACTGATCTTGAGGGCACCCAGACTGATCTTGAGGGCACCCAGAATAACTGCAGGACAAAACCTCCCTGTTTCCTAAGACTTGTCAGACCATGGGGAAATAAGGCAGCGGAGGGTGTCCTCCAGGAGTCAATTGGTGCCCAGCTGCAGGGAAACCCCCACTAGGCCCTCTCTTGAACTGAGTCCCAGGTGGTCCTTTCTGCAGAAACATTCCATGGTCTGTTCAGAGAAAAAGCAATCTAAAACACAACCATACTGGATAACCACCATGCTATAGTGAGATTGCCCTTCTCCTTAAATTAAACTAAAACTGTAGAGACACTCAATGGCAAGTAGAGCTATCGATGTTGCAGATGAAGCTATGGCTATATGTGTCACAATTGCATTTTATTCCTAATAAAGAAGAAAATATCAGCATCAGCTTCAAATGAACTGTGTTTTCTAGTCTACCAGAACTTGACAATTTTCCTGGCCAGGAAATGAAAAGATGGAAGAGGCGAAAGAATCTATCTTCCCATTCTCCAAAATTAGAATGTGCATAGCTCCATGATTATTCCATAATGCAAATGTGTGAACTTTGAAGAAGAAGAAACAATATTTTGACTGTAACTCAGCTGAATGAGAAAGTCCAAGGCGTTTTGTACAGCCCAAGTGATAACATGTAAATATACACTATGAATAATGGTAGCAAACAAGAACGCAGAAACCCCTTATTTTTAGTACTCACAAATAAAACTTTTCATCCCATGTTGGATTCAAGTTTCCGAAGATAGTCCTTGTTCTCCTTTTTGTTTTGCCAATTTGCACAGTAACGTATGGATCACTGGAGCCAGTTTTGTCCTTTGCTTGCAAGCCTTGGGCACAAAGCACTGTAAGAACGAGAAACAGCTGAATCCAACTGGCACATCAGGATTGGCCCCAACCTATGATGCTCCTGAATGCAATGGGGGGGGGGGGAGAGAACACAAGCTTTGCATCCCAAAGGTCCCAGACCCTCTGCCTGGTCAATCTCATTAGGGAAAAGTCAAGCAATAGACAGAGACATTCCGATGGAGACCCTGGAGCAGCTGCCAGGTCAAAGAGACCAGTTGAAAGTCAGTGAGAGAAGGCAGAGGTCAAAACAAGAGGCCAAAGAAAAGGAATTGTGCCTCTCCACCCACCTCCCACTAGTCCAGCTCTCTCCATTATTATCCACCTTCAGTTGGAAAACCCTCCCTTGTCCCTCAGGAAGGTGGCATAAGTCAAAGCTACAGGATATTTTCTGCCTCTCATATCCCAGTAAACCCTTCAAATAGCTCACTCTCAGGAGGAAATGGCACGATCTGCCCTGGGGCAAGGCACATATTCCAGTCCCATTTCTCCAATTTGCAAACCCCACAAAAACTCTCCCATTACAGATATCAGAATTTATGCTAGCTGGTGTGGTGCTTATGCTGCTATAAATATAAATACTTGTCAGCTGCTTCTTCCATCACAATTCATAACAAAGCAAATTGGTCAGCCAGCAGCAAGCTGAGGCCACTGAAAGCTAGAGCTGTACCACAGCCCCACCTGTCTCTCCCTTCCTCTCAATTTCTAGTATTAATTTTGCCTGTATTATTTACAGCATCCAGGCAGCTGCCGGGTAGCCACATTTTGAACAGTCCCTGCAGGACAGTGAGCTGATCAGATGCCTGCTCAGAGAAGTGTTGGTTCACCATGTCCCACTACCCCAAGCTCCGCTTGAACTGGGAAGATCAGGATTGATTTAAACTGCTCAACAAACAGTCAACCTGGAGCAGAAAGGGAGCCTGGTGAACAGCAGCTGAAAGAGACTCCCCAGCTAAGGAGATGAGACTAGCTGGGCAGGCTTTTAATTTTTTATTTTGCTGGTTCCGGGTCTGCTTTTTTCCCGTCATGTCCTGGAGAAAAAGTGCCACTTTCTATCAAGATCATCATTTCATCCAAGCAGATGAGCCAAGGCCCTGCAGCCTAAATAGTCTGTGATGGAGTGGCATGTTAGAATGACCTTGGCAGAGTGGGCACCAAAGGACCAGGCAACAGGGAGAGCAGCCCACAGTAAAAGGTTCCCAAGGGATTCTCTCTTATGTTCTAAGGCTGTAAAAGTGAGGGCAGGAGAATTGTATTTCCAGACTTGCAAGATTCTGCCAATGTAGATTTACAGCAAAGTAGAATTCACATCTGGCTGTTTCCTGTCTGGTCTGTCTGATAAAGTTGAAAGCTGATTTCGCTTTTCAGGGTCTGTTCCTTCTTAGCAAGTCCTGGAGCTTGGCCAGAATAGGAGACAGTTCATCTCTAGGACTCATTTCCTCCCCTGCCTACAAAGTTCTTGAGCCCCAAGCCCACTCCAATATAAAGGGCTCCGTGGCAATTAGCTGATGCTCTGGTTTGTGCAGAGGATCTCTTCCCTGCTGGATACTTTGATTTTTACTGGTGAAAAGATATCCCTGGTTGGGTAGCCATTGCTTTGGGATGGGCCTTTGAGATAGATCTCTTCCAATGATATGATTCCATGGAAAAAAGAAGTGGAATCTTCTGTAAATCCAAGAAACAGACAGCTTTCCCTTTTCCCAGTTTTGGCTGCGAGACCCTCCTGGGTCTTCTCCATCTTCATGCCAGATTCATCCATCCCACAACCAAAATTCATTACACTCTACTTGAGCCTCTTCCTAAAATTGTCATAATAGAATATGTCCATTTCCATAGTATTCTTTTGTGTAAAACTCTGGATACATGCCTGCTGATCTTTTATATGCTTAATTAAGGACTGGGTTTACGTAGTTTCACAACTGAGCAATAAAACTGGTTTATATAAATAACTCAACCAGCTATTAACTATCTGTCAGTTAATATAGTTATGCATAAAGTTAACATGGTCTCTACAGAAGAGACACATTTCTCATAACTTACATTCAGTTTCAGACAATGGAGTATTTCTTCCCATAAAGCAAAGTTACAGATAATAAGATATTATAAAAGGTGGAATATACAGTAAATGTCACAATAAAAAGAGAAGATAACTTGATTTAGCACAAGTCTCCCTGCCAGAGGTGATAGCAAACTGGAATTATGCCAGAGCACTGACAGCAAGGGGAGATTCACACCAAAGCCCCTGGAGTATTTCCATCCTCCCCTGTGAGCTTGGGGCTGTATAAACAAACCACTAAGTGGCCAATGGATTTATCTGCTACAAAGGGATGAAAGTTGTTATTTCACCATGAATGCAGCATGCATGAGCTGGAAAGGATCAAAGAGGCCATCTGATACCTGTCCCCGTCCAGGTCAGTGGAGGAATCCATTAAACTATGCTCAATGGGGGGGGGAGGTATTTCCAGTCCAAGTGAGCACCTCCAGAGAAGGGAATCTCCCTTACTCTGGGCAGACTGATCCGCCACTCAACCCCATCAAAGGACTCTGTTTTGTTTTCATTCACAGGCCACAAGGTAGTTTACTGGGCCAGAGACAAAAAGACAACTGGAGAAAAAAGCTGGTGAACTATCACACCTGTGATTGTTATTTTTGCTGACCACTTGGAGGTGCCATCCAGGACACTCTGTTTGGCCGCTTTTGTGTGCTTTGAGAACTCTTCCTTTGAAACCTGGAACACCTCCCGGATCAGATGAAAGATTTCTGGTCTGTTTTTCTCCCGAATTGTCATCTGCTCCTTCATGACTGTAATGATGCTCTGGGTCTTATCTTCAGCCCCGTGCTTTGAGCTCTTCTCTGCTGCCCCTGAGGGAATACAATAATAATCATATTACATGCCATAATTTATGGATCCAGTCATCAGGAAGGGTTCCTAAAACCTCAGAAATAGGTCCTCTGGTCCATCCTCTCCTTGGATTTTAGAGGGCTGATTTTTTGGACACCAAACACAACAAAGATTCCCAGGAAATGCCATTATTGCATGCTGCTGCCAAGGCTCACCAACAGGAACCCAAGCAGAAAAGCTTTAAAGTCCCTGTTTTGGTTTGACCATACGTGGGGGGGGGGCACTGAGGTCTGCCTTTTGTCTTTACTGAAAAGGCAGGAGTCCATGGCATCCACAGGGCTTTGACTTGATCTCAGCTGATCCTGCAGGAAGCAATAACCGCAAACATGGGGGGGGGGAGGAGCAATTCAAGGTAGAGAGTGCCTAAGCCACTGAACCACAAAGGAGGCGACCACCCTTAGCTGACTCTCTTGGGCTAACCCAGCTGGTGGGTCAATTGTTTCATGTACCAGACAATTAGCAAAGTGAGTAAATCCTGGAGCTGGTAGAGGCAGTGGTGAAGGGCCAGTGTCCCGTAGTGTCAGTCAGCACTAACAAAGACTGCCTGTAGCCTTTTTTCCCACCCCAGGATGCCCACAAATGTAGCCCCCCAGGATAGAAAGAAAGAGGGGGCACCCCAAGACTCACTCTGAAGGCAGTCAGCATTAAGGAGGTCTTGGCACTTCTCATGGCATTTCACTCCACACTCACTGCATCTCATTCCCTGTCGGGCAATGCCCCAGAGCAGCCCTTCACACTCATAGCAATAGGTGGGGGCTGTGGCTGTCCAGACCTCAAAGTAGTGTGGAGTGGTCAAGGACATGGGGTAGATGAGTGCCTGCAGAGTCTTTTTGAAAACGTGCAGTTTCTGTAGGAAGAACATAACCATCAGGGGATGTGAGAGAGGAAGGATGGGAGAGAAAACGGTCACTGGGTGCAGAGGCAGCCATTCTCAATTGGTTGTTACTGATTAATTTGCCTTGCCCCTGCTCATTCTTCTGAGTGTGGCTTCAGCCAGCTGTACATACATGTATGTGCAATCCCCCCCCCCACAGGTTACAATTCTTTATTTATTGGCCACGTGTGATTAAACACACAAGGAATTTATCTCCAGTGCATAAGCACACTTTTATAGCAGAAAGGGGAATTTAGGAATCATTTCAGCCGAAAGTGGCTTCTGCATGGTGGCAGGGTAAGAAAACTGGGCACAGCATTGGTGTTGGGTTGGTTTTCTACCTGCCCTTCCTTTGGGGAGGGGGAATTATCTTCAGTTCAAGGTCAGCTTCTTTTTACCACTATGCAGTAAGACAGGCCTCCCACCCAAAGTCCAGCACTGATGGAGGCCTCAGAAAAGAGGCTCCTTTCTTCTTCTTACCATCTCATTATTCAGGGATGTCTGGACAAGGATGGCCAGCGAGACCCCCGGCTTTCGGGCAGCCAGTGTCTGTCAAAGACAAAAGACATAGGCAGTAAAAAATGGCAGGACAAGAAGGAAAAAGCAGCCTAGAACAAAAGCTGCTCTCAAAATCCTGCCCAAACCTTGTTATGGTTCCTGAGCGCTGGATCAAGTAGAAGGTTCCATTGGGGACATTGGGCAAGAGTCCTCATAAAGGCTGCCTCATGCCCCTCTCTTTATCACCTGACAATCCCAGGACAAGTATAAAGAATTGGCAGCCAAAGTGTGGTAGAAACTCGCTCATTCCTATGAACCCAGGCAAAAGTGATTGTTTTAGCCAACTTGGGCCTGGCAGGTTCCACAGGGCTAGACATGACACTTAGCCCAAGTCCAGTTAGCAATCAGGACCAAAGTCCTGCTATCCTGTCCTCTCCAACCTTTGCCTGGGATGGCATCTCCCTGGAGAACTGGTGCTCTGTTCAGCTGCTCCTCCTCTAAAGCAGCTTTCCAGCAACCGGAGTAATGGCTTTACCTCCATGAAACATAATCACTAGTACAGAAACAAAACTGTAAAACAGCAGGAAAACCACCCCACCATTTTTGAGAAACATTGACATTGAATCTTTTAAACATTATTTTTAGCACCTTTCACAGATGTTAAATCACTTCACATCTTTATAAAATCTGTGATGTATAATTTGAAAACTGGAGCTCATAAGTATGATGAATACTGGAGTATATATAGTACAAAAGACTGAAAAAATATTTTTTGGACAATAGTTATAAACATATTAATTCAATTTCATTTAAAATGTTCGTGTTTTATGTAGTACAAATGGACTACAAGCTGCTGACAAAACATAGTAGGTAGCATCTGTTTTACTTTTATTATTGACAGGAGAAATCAGAAAAATTAATACCAAAAACAAATAATGTTAAAACAATAAAAAATTACACATTGTGGGCCTTTTTCTCCACGTTACTGATTCAGAATGGACTGATTTGCAGGAAAAACCCAGGGAAGCAGGTGGGGGAGGGAGAAGCAAGACCAGGAATGGACTCTGCCTGGTGGCCGCCCTCTCAGAGGCTGCTCCTGAGCACCTGTTTCTGTTTCACATCTTCAGGAGCAGCAATATTACCCAGGACACTGATAGCAGTGACAGCAGAGCTGTTTACACCTTTCCTTTTCAAACTGCAATGCAAGGTCAGACCAGGAGAGTAACAATCACTTTGAGTGCATGCATGAATCTCAGCACCCTGAGAGCTCTCCATTGTAAAGCAATCCCTTGTCAATGGCCAAATGGACAGCAGGTTCACCTTCCATCCCTGTAACCTTATCTTAAATCTGGGGTGACCAGACTCTGAATTCTTTAGCGTTAACTACAGAAGATCAATAATTCACTGTCAACTTGCCAGCTTTAATAAATTGTTGTTGTGTTCTTAACTGAGTTTTCTATCATACATGATTAACTCCACATATAATTATGAGGTAAAGTAAGAATAAATCACTGGCATGTTGTTATTTTATTATTGTAACAATATAAATGAATTAATCTCACACACTTTTCTTTATAAATTCTTGATGATTTAGTTGGTTTGTGATGTTAACTCATAACGAATTCCCCTTGCTAATAATTAATTATGAATATTTTTATTTGCTTGTCACCTTCCATTATTTCAGCCAAAGACCAGGGCCAAGACAGCAGAACACAAAGATGGGAAAAAGACTCCAGAATATGACTGAAAGCTACAACAGAGGCTAGGAGGGGATATGTACATCAGTGCACACTGGAAAGAAAATGAAGGAAAAACTCTCCCTCAGGAAGACAAATATGACATGGCAGGCAGTGCTGAAACTCAGTGGGATGATGTCTGTGACTGGCACAGAGGACTGAAAGTCTCCAGTTTGTTCCAAAAGAACAAAAGAAAAACAGAAATATTGCACTCCATATAAAGAAAATATATACTTGCACAGAATTCCAGAATTCAGGTTGAAAGTATTTGGGCAAGAATAGAAGGAGAGAAAAAAAGTGACATTGCTGCGAGAGTTTATTGCTGACCATCTGGACATCCTTCTGCCTCAAGTGATCAGGTTTTCTATAGGGGCACTTCAAATTATCTTGACATCTGCTGGGAATTTTACTCTATCAAGAATCAAAGGTCCAACAAATCCTTATCTTCTTTCACTGGCAACTTAATTTATCAAGAGATGTATCAGTCTCTTTAGACTTAAATGGTTCCAATAGCTATGTTCGAGTCTCTTTGCAAAGAGGCATGTAAGTTTATGCAGGAGGTACCCCACCCTTATCAAGCAGGCATATAAATTAAATAGTTTCCAAAGCCAACCATTTAAGGGCTTGGATTATGATTAATAATAATCACCTCCCTGACAAGGGAAATTGCCTTTTCTTTCTCTACCTTGAATTTTGTGCCAAGCTGACACCACCTTGCTGCTGCTCATCTGGCCACTGCAAGGAGTTAACAGGAAAGTCATGGAACTTCGTGATTAATAGTCTGCCAAGGTTAGTGGTGAAGGGGATCCCGCTTTTGCCCAAGGACTGACAGGCTAAGAACTGAGGCTGGTCACTTTTGCCATGGGGACTGAAATACAAAGATCATCACCTAAAGCCTCTCGGGGATGTCTCAGCACATTTCCCCCTGCTTTTCTGCAAATGGCTGTGCCCAGGAGGGATGGCAGAAGGCTGGCAGTCTGGGCCTTTTGACAAGCCCTCCCCTCCAGACAGGAGGACTTCCTGCCCCAGGGCAGCTCTGAATCCCTCTAGCTGTAAGAGGCTGTGGAGGGGAGGAAAGGCAAGCTGGCCAGCAAGCCCTGCCGCCCCAGATGTCTCAGAGGCAGATTTGTTGTCCTTTGTGGCCTGGCCAGGTTTCACATCCTCCCCAAATACCATTAGTGGGAAATGGGCAACCGGAGCTCTGGCTTTCTACAGAGTCTTCAGTCTCCCAGGGGAAAGTCAGCTGATCTTTCAAGAACTTCTTACATAGGCACAAGTTGCTCAGAATTGAAAGCAGCATCTCCGCAGTCTGAAGATGTGGGGGGAAGCCATTTATCTTTAAGTTTAATAATGAATAATAAATATTCCTCCTCGTAACACATCCATCCCCTAACATCAAAAAACTTAAGCTGTAAAATGGTTCCCTATTATGGCAGGGAGTAAATATAACAAGATGGCCTGGAAAACAGGGAAAGACGCAATTTTCTCCAGCATCAACTTCATGGAAAACTTGTTAGCCGTCAGCAAAATGTTTAGAGTCCACTGGCAGCACTCTCTGTTGAGGGGAATTCTGTTGTCTCCCCTCCCCCGCAAAATTAAATTTGCATAACTCTGTCTACTGTCCCCCCTCTCCCCCATGTTTGGAAAACCTTGAAAGGGTCAAGCAGAAAATCCCCTACAATTTCTGGGAAAACCCAATGCGATATTTATTTGTTCATCCAACATGACTCCAGCAAGCAAGGCTGATACTAACAAGAAGCAGAATGTGTGTCAGTGTGACTGGCTATTTCTCTTTTTGAAGTCCTGGGTCACAGATCTTATTCTCCCACCCTGAGCATTGGTCAGCCTCACACACACCCAATTTAATATCATCCACAGCTCTGATGAGCAGCTCCCCAGTCATTGCTTCAAATGATCCTGGCCCCAAAACAGATCCCTGCAGATTCCCACGATCACTGCTACGTCCGCTTTAGCTGCAGCTAACTCAGCGGGAGAGAAGCCCACCCTGATCCAGCAAGCCAGGAGCTCCACGTGGACCCCTGAAAGAACGAAGGCTAATCTCTGAGATGCACCTGCAATCAGCAGGTTTCAGAGGGGGGACTTAAGCAGTTTTTAGGGCTGAGTCAAACCATTTTTAAGGCAGATTTTAACATCTTAAAATCAATTTGAAGCCAAAGCATTATTGCAGAAAATGTCTAATTTGCAATGAGCAGTTGCCCTGGGATAGAACTTTTTGAAAATGCCATACATGAATTGTAAAATTTCACAACATCAAGCAATAAAACCACTTACCATTGCCTGGAAAATCCAGCATTGATAGAAAGAATTAGGAAAAGCATTAATAGCCAGATGTTGTAAAGACAATGACATGCAATGATTAATATTTCTACAGCCATCAAGGCTGCAGAAATACCACAGTTAAATCCTGCCTTATTTTCACCCCTTGAAAATCTTCAAATAGGTAACTGAACTGAATCTCTTAGCTATTTCATGTTTTCCCTGTGAGCACCACTTAAATTCATTGACCATAATGTTTTAGGCTAAAATAGTCTTTAAAAAGATGGATAATATTTTTTAAAAAAATTGGGAGATATTTATCGAGAAGGTAAAGTCCAAATTTTCCAAAAGATGAAATTACAGGTTGGCCTTGACTGACAATCATTTGTTTAAAGACAGGTCAAAATGAACAACAAAAGTCACTTACAACCTACATTCGCACTTAGTTGCAAACTGTCGCAGCAGCCCCCACATGATTACAATTTGGGTGCTTCACAATGGGCTTGAATTTACACTCAGTTGCCTCATCTGCAGTCACCCAATCACAATTTGCAACAGTTTTTGTTGGTTTCTTGGAAAAAATAGCCATCAGGAAAGCTGCATCTGCTTCATGAATGCAGTGACCCAACTTACGACCGCTGTAAAAAGGGTCAATTAGCTGTTGATTGTCAATTGTCATGTAATGATTTATGATCATAACAATTTATGACAGAAATTCCTGCCTCCGTGTGGTCCTCAGTGGAGGGCTACTTGTACTTCTGTGGCCACCTATCCTGACCAACCACAAGGCGAGAATAACAGATTTTGTTCTTCTACGGAGGCCTCATTTGTAATCTGCCAGTCCCAGCTCAGGGTCCCTCTTCCCAGTGCCAGGCTCCTCTCCCTGGCTGGGCCCCACGGCCAGCAGAGAGTAGCCATGATTAGCTGAAGTGGGGGGGCGAGGTGTTACCCATCTCGTTACTGCATTAGTGGGACAGCATGCTGCCAGCAACTCACCACATCTCGGATGACAGGGAATGTGTTCTTCCGTCGCAGGTCTGGCATGCTATCGATCCCATACAGAGTACTCCCAGGGCTGAAAAGGTGAGAAAGTGGGATAGATGCATGGAACATACCAAGATGTATGGCTCATATGGAAGAAGAACCACACCAGTGTTAAAAGTCACAGACTCCTGTAGTCCCTTGAGACTTTTTTGGGAAGCCTTTAAAAATCCCCAGAACTTTTGGAATTAGAATATCTTGGCCTTTTGAATTCAAAAGGACCACAATGAAAGTTCATGCACTGCTGTTGGTTTTATGCTCCTTCCAAAATGGTGTTGTCAATGAGCTATTCAGCCTTTCTCTTTCCCAGAAAAGGCTATTCATCCTTTCTCTTTCCCAGAAAAACTGTGTGGTGTTTTTTCCTTGCACCCAAAATCATAATTAGAGGCTGGAGGAGAGACACTGCTGTAGAATTGACATTGCTCTGAACAGTGTTATGGAAAAATAACAACAACAACAACAACAACAACATCTTTGGAAAGGACTAGATAGGTATACAAAAATACCAAATCCAGTCTGAATATCTATTTGGGTTTGAATACAGCAAAAACACCAAGTTGACAAAGTTCTTGAAAATGAACAGGTCAAGATCCTATGGAACTTTTGAATCCAAACAGACAGACATCTGGCCCACAACACTGGGCCAATGACTATTGTAGAAAAGAAAAAAGTCTGGTTCATTGATATTGCAATATCAGGTGATGCACAAATTGAAGAGAATCAGCTAGAAAAAATAATGAAATACCACGATCTGCAAATTGAAGTTGAGTGACTGTGGAGGAAGAAATCAATGGTTGTACTAATAGGAGCCCTTGGAGCAATACCCAAAGGACTGTCTAGATACATGTAAATTTCAAATTTATTAGACCTGAGTATTCTACACTCTACTCGGAACTGTCTATATACTCAGATGCTACCTTAATAGCTCTTAGGTCCTTGGCTAGGACTTGAACCGTTACGTTTTTACCAGTCCCAGACTGTTAAATTTTAAATAATAATAATAATATCAACAACATCTGCCTATCTTTGAAAAGGACTCGATACTGCCAAATCCCATCTGAACAATTGGCTGACTGCACGATAAGCAATAATAATATAAACCCCTATAAACAGAAAAAAAATGACTGGCACACAGAAAACAAAGAGGAGTAATGAAATGACCACACACACACATACCCTCTGAAAGAATGTGCATATCACAAAACTCTTCCAAAATGTTGAAACCAATGGAGGACCACAAAGCTGATAAAAGCAGAATTCAATTGATTGGAAACATATTGAACAGTAAGAGAAGGTTGTGCTGTCACCAGCAGGGCCAGCAGGCAAAGGATCTCTTCTGGCACTTAGGTTGGAGATGTCATGGCAAAGAATAATTGGAAATGGAATCTAGTTAACTGGTGGCAACTCTGACAATATTTCAGACAACTGACAGCGTAGCTGGAGCAAGGAGTTTCTGGGGGACGGTCAGATTCCAGCAAGGAGGATGAACTTTTAGGGAGGCAAAGTAGTCCTTGCAGAACAAGGCAATTCTCTGGCTTTGTCTCTCCATGCCTCCAGTTTGGGTTTGTGCTGAGCTTCTTCTCAAATATCCTCAACTTTAATCAAGTCTTTCCTAAGTCATCTGAGCCTCCTCTTTGATACTTCGCTTCTCCTCCCACCTTGTTGAGATGCCTGGACGCTACAGCTGTTATTGATGTTTCTTCCAAAGAACAGTAACATCCTTCAAAGGCAGTTTTATCAGACAGAGAGGTGCCGGTACTTACCCAGAAAAGGCTTGGACGGCACGTTTGGAAGCGTCCAAAGAACGTCCGCTGACAGTAAGAGCCTTGAAGGGAAAGAAGGGACAGTTCAGCTTCTCAGCAAGTGCTGGCAGGTGGCAAGCAGAGAGGGGCCATATACAGAACAACACCGAGGACGGAAACACGAATGCGAAGCAGGGCCAGCTCCACCACACCAAAGCTAAGATCATCTTGTTTGAAAAGACAACAGAGCAACATTCAGCTTTGAAGGGGAAATCTGGCTTGTGTACCCCACCCCTGCAGGCGGTTTCCCTTTAAACCCTAGAGTACAAGCGGCAGTTGGCCAGTGGGTGTGCTGGTCCCAGGGTGCAAAACGGGAAACCTGGGTTTGGCAACAGCAGATCCCTAAGCTGGCACAACTTATGATTCAACAAACCACAACAGTGAGGACTCAGTCTGCATGTCAATGGGAGGCATCTGGACACATCAATGGAGAAAGAGGAAGACAGAAGCATGGAAAGCTGGGTTGGAGGGCATGCGCATCTCACAACTGAAATTAAAAGACCAAACAGGTCGACTGAGCCACAACCACACGCCCACAAAAGACACCACCCTTTAAGGAAAGATGCAAATTTGGAACCTTTTCATCCATAGAACTGCTATCTGAAAAAGAATTGGGAAGAGGGGAATAAAAATTAGACACGTCTCCAAGAAATGTGCATAGTGAATATTGCAATCCTACCCAAAGCCTGGCTGGGAGCTCTTGAACTTTATACTCAGATGTTAAACCAGGTTGGGACCTCCTCTCCCCCTTTCTTCCTTCTGCCTGGCAGGGAAAGTTATGGCTGGCCTCTGAAGAGGTAGTGTGTTTAATTAGACCTCTTTCTCAGGCTGGTTCCATTCTTTAGGAAGCCTGATGAGAAAATGTTGGATGTGCATTAGGATTTTCAGGTGTGACAAGAACCCTCAGAACCTGAAGCAACTCATTCAAGGGTGTTTTCATCTTTATGAATGGATACCATGAAGCCCTGCTCAGAAGTAAGAGGTGTTCTGCTTACTCGGATGCCAGCCTGGCAAAGTGGCTCATGGTCCAGAAAGCTCCTTCTGGGTGCAGCATCATGGGCCACCAAATCGTAGCAAGAATCTGTGGATTAAGGCATTGAAAACCCCACCTGGACTGCAAAGCCTGAGCGAAAGCAACTTTCCTGACCCACAGGCTGAAGGAGGCATGCTGGGAAACCCTTGCCCACTTCACACATTCCACGAAAACCGCTATCAAGTCATGATTTCCTTCTCAGATGCCCTGACATCCTCCCTGCAGTCCTGACTCTGGATGGAAAGCCTTCCAAACACCTTGCCTCAGTGCGCTCAATGGTGTTCAGAGGGTGAACTGAGAGCCATCACTTTGGAAGGGGGCATGGAGGGGAGAATGGCCCTTTATTTCAAGCCTAAAGAAAAAGGAGTCCCTCTCCCCCCACCCGTGCCAAGAAGGAATTACAGACCTGGAAGGGAAACATAAAAATAAGAAATGGTTGATCTTTGTGACTAACAGTAAAAGCAGGAAGGCTTTGGCATGATTGCCTTGACACCATACAGTGTAATGAAGGACAGTAATTAAAACAGGGGCCTTTCTTTTCTTGTAAATCAGAAACATATATTGTATTTTTTCTGGGCCACAAAAACAAATCTACTCAATTAGGATTGCTCAATTAAACAGAGGAAACCAGAGTAAAAAGCGGTAGAATGTAATACTTTTCCCTTTGAACTCAGTGGATCCTTCAGCAAATGTCTTGTTATGAATGATGCTGCATTGATCAAATCCTTTGCGGCCATTAGGAATTAAAGCTTCCTGTATACAGACATCTAGTCAGCTATAAATTATACACTTTAACTGAGGGTGTATCCCAAAGACACAGAGCACCAAACAGGAAGACTTCTGTGAACAGAACTACGGGTAGTAAGCTTGGAACTGGTGACAGGGTGAAGATATCCAGGGGAAGGTGCTGAAATCAGCTGCTCTCTTCTTAGCCTGTTTGTCCTCTCCAGCAAGCTCTCCATGCAGCCCTTGTCTCACAGATTCGGGGCAAGGAAACATTTCCAGTCCACCTTGTAAATAAAGGATTTTCTTAATCAGAAGGTGCAGCAAGCATTGCAGTGGGCCAGAGAGATATTGAATCTCATTCAGACAATCCCTGTGACCTAAGGAACCCAAGCGGGGAGAAGGAGGGACACACTCACCGACTCCCTGGATTTGTCTGCCCAGACAGCTGTTGCCACAGCCCCAGGATGGTGGCACTAAATTATTCTAAAGTCATTACTCCAATGCAGAGTTTGCCTGGAGGATATTATCTTACTAGGAGCAGGCAAAAGCATTTAATGTTCTGTGACCAATTGAGAGGATTATGGCGCATAGCAAATGAATACTGTTGAGTCCTCGAGTCAACGGCGAAAGAAGAGCATACATCCTGATGGTTATAACAGCTTTTATTCTCTTCAGCTCTCCCTGACACAACTCAGAGGCTCGCAGGCCTCTCTGCCTCTAAATAGAATCCCCAGGCAAAAAGGTAACAAAGAATGGCGCGCTTTCGTGCCTTGTGCATGCGCGCAGGCTGGCACCACTCAGTCTGGTCCCGGGCAGCTTGCAACAGCCCGGGACCATTACAACGTCCTGAGCCTGCCTTTACAGACTCAGGACACAACACCCCTTCCCCCCCAGATGAAACTTAATGAAACTATATAGAAAGGTATACGTGACCTTCAAATGGATGTGGTGTGCTATCCCTTACGGAACCGCACAACTGTTGCAGCTACTTACTAGCTACTCTATAACATGGTACCGTGCTATTATTTTGGAATTAAGTGCCCAAAGACTCACAATTCCAAGTTCACCCAACAGCAGGCACCCTCTTCACCTCCTTTGCTTTGACAGCAATGTCACAAAATCTTCCAGGTATTTGGGAGATCTTTTAACCCTCTGTGACCTCCTCAGATTTTGGGAACTTCGTTGACCATCCTGTGCAGTGATTGTAGTGGAGATGCCCCCTCTTTTAAGCCCTGGTGGTCCCCGTGACCTGGGTTCTGTTGTCTGGTCTGCTTGCTTGCCCACCAGGCTCGTCAGACCAGGACTTTGCTCCCTACTGTACCTGGTTGATCTGCCTAACTGTAGGCTATCGGGCCCCTCTATGTTCCCACCAGTATTTGGCAATTCTGTGGTACTCTCCAAGTCCACAATGGACCTATCAAGGGAACGCATCCCTTCACTCCCAAGCCCCGTAACTGGGTTGTCTAGGGTTTCTCCAGTGCCCCGGTACTCGGTTGCCCCCCATTCCATGCCGGAGGTATCAGAATCAGGATTTGCCTCTCTGACTACCTCCCTGTATGCAGACTTCCTTTTGGGAGCAGTAGCAGCAATGGGCCAGCTTGTTTGGATGCCAGTTCTCTTGTGTTATTTGGGTTGTTTGGATGCTCCCGGTTATTCTCTCTGCTTGGAGTGCTGTAGTGGGGTTGTGAATAATGAGTATGCCCCCTGGGTGACTCCCTGGCTGGAGTAAGTACTGGTGCCTGTATTGTTCCTTGTTCCCCTGAATTCCTGTTAGGGACACTTGCGGAACCTTCGGAAAGGCCTTCCTCTGTCCCTTCGTTTGCCCAATTGCTGCCAACACCCTTCCCTTTCCCCACAGTGGTCCCCCTCCTCCCCCCGGAGGAAACCCAGGAGTTGAAGAGGGAGAATCCAGTCTCGTACGCAGCTGATCGATATGCCGCCGAAGGACACGACCGTCGTCCAGGGAAACCTCGTAGGACAATGGACTAGTGACCTTGCATACTACCGCAGGAACTCACAGGTGACCGGGCCCATAGTTCCGGGTCCATACCGAGGCACCCACTTGCAGATACCTTGATGCCCTTGGTTGGGAGACCCGAGGAGCCACCCTATCCGGATGCAGCCTGTCAAGTTTGGTGATCAGTCTGCGCCCCCAGCGAAGTTCTGCCGGGCTCTTCCCAGTGGAAGTAGAAGGTGTGGTGCGGTAAGCAAGAAGAAAATCTGCCAACCTGTGATGCCAGTCCCCGTAAGTCAGTTTCTTGAGAGCATCCTTGGTAATGCGAACCATCCGTTCAGCCATACCGTTGGTGGAAGGGTGGAAGGGCGCCGAAGTTGCATGACGAATCATGTTGGCCTGCAGGAAAGCCTGAAACTTGGAAGAAGTGAATTGAGGACCATTGTCTGAAACCAGAACATCTAGAAGGCCATGAGCAGCAAAAATCCCTCTTAGTACTTGAATGGTCTTGGCAGCAGTAGTGGAAGAGACAGGAACAACCTCAAGCCATTTTGAATGGCTGTCAACAAGGACCAAGAAGAATTGTCCCTGAAAGGGCCCAGCGTAATCTACATGCACCCTAGACCAAGGTGACTGTGTCTCCTCCCATCTATGTACAGGAGCCTGAAGCATTTCAGGGCATGAACGCTGGCACAAGTGGCATCCATGCACCTGGGCCTCTATTTCCCTGTCTAATCCTGGCCACCATAAATGGCTGCACGCAAGCACTTTCATCCTGACAATGCCAGGATGACCCTCATGGAGAGAGGCCAAGACTCTAGGTCTCAATGAGGTAGGAATAACTGCTCTGCTGCCCCACAATAGGCAACCCTGAAAAGTGGATAACTCATGCTTCTTGAGCCAGAAGCTTTGGAACTCAGTACCTGGACAACTCTCAGGCCATCCAGACAAAACCCATGAAAGCACACGAGTAAGCGTGAGATCTGTGGCTGATTCAGCAGCCACATCCCTGGCATTGAGGGGAGACTCAGGCAACACCTGAATGGAAAGAATATTGATGGCAGGGGCAGGGTCAGCCTCTACCAGTTGCAGAGGTAATCTACTTAGGCCATCAGCGTGGCCCATTTCCTTGCCAGGTTTGTGAATCAATGAAAAATCATAAGCTGCCAAAGAAATAGACCATCTCAGCATTCTAGAAGAGATAATATCGGGAGTTTGTTTGTTAGTGGTAAACAACCCCAACAGGGGCTTATGGTCAGTATAGACCGTGAAATGTCTGCCATATAAAAAAACATGGAATTTTTTAATTCCAGCTACAATGGAATTCTCGGTCTATCTGAGCATAATTTCGTTCAGCAGAAGATAAAGTTCTGGAGTAATATGCAACAGGCACCTGAGTCCCATCAGCTCTTAAGTGGCTAACTAAAGCCCCCACCCCATAAGGGGAAACATCACAAGCAATGCAGACAGGTAGGTTTTCATTGAAATGTGCAAGCACATCATTTGATGTAAGTAAGGCCTTGACCTCATTGAAGCTTTTTTCATGTACTTTGGACCAATGCCAAACTGCCTGCTTGTCTAAAAGCCTATGAAGTGATTTTGCTACATTAGCCTTGTTAGGTAGGAAAGCGTTGTAAAAATTCAAGAGGCCTAGGAATTTTATTTATTTATTTATTTTATTTTTAAAATTTATAAGCCGCCCCACTCCCGAAGGACTCTGGGCAGCTAACAATAAAAAACACATAAAACATAACAAAACAACAATACAAAAACAATCATCCAGGGGTAAGGTTTTATAAACCCCAGGCCTGCCGGAAAAGCCAGGTCTTAAGTAGCTTACGGAAGACCAACAGGGTGGGAGCGGTCCTAATCTCCGGGGGGAGCTGA